CACATCAGGTGGCGTACAACTGCCTGAAACTCCAGTTCTAAGGATCTGATGCCCTATTCTGGTCTCTGAGGGTTCTGATCAACAGTGTACACACACATACACCACACACACACACACATACACACAGACATGCACATGCATGGAAAAAACATAAAACAAATCTTTTTAAAGATGGAAAAATAAATAAAACAATCTACTATCATACACAGAGGAGGTGGGGAGACAGAGAGACAAGAGACAGAGAAAGGACATAAAACATAAAATGAATCTTTTTAAAGATAGAGAAATAAAACCTACTATCACACACACACAGGTACACAGGAGCATGTACACACACACACACACACACACACAGGCACACACAAACCCACCTGTCCAGTCTGAGAGTAGGTGACACATCTGCAGAGACCTCAGGGAGACCGAGACACTAGCTCACAACTTATCCTGGGACCCCAGAGTTTTAATTTACTGTAGATCACAAGCCCAGCAAACCCCGGCCCAGGCACCAAGTCCCTCCAGTGAAGGAAGGGCAAGGTGACTCCTGGAAGTCTCCAGAATCCAGACCGGCCTAACCAGTTCCTTCTGAGAGTTCCTGGCCCCTTCCAGCTGAAAGGTCATTTCTTGCTGCTAAGATGGAGCTGGCTGGCCTTCAGCAGGGGAGGATCTGCAACATACAAATTCACTCAACACCTAGGCCTGCCCCAAAGGCCACAGAGTAACGGCTAACATAATCACTCACAAAGCTGTGTGACTCGTTTGAGGCACTCACAAAAAATCTACTCATTCTGGCCTCTCCATGACTGTAGAGTATTGTCATAGAGTTTTACTGCTGTGAACAGACACCATGACCAAGGCAACTTTTAAAAGAACAACATTTAGCTGGGGGCTGGCTTACAGGTTTAGAGGGTCAGTCCATTATCACCATGGTAGGAACTTGGCAGCATCCAGGCAGGCATGGTGCAGGAGGAGCTGAGAGTTCTCCATCTTCATCTGAAGGCTGCTAGCAGAATACTGACTTCCAGGCAGCGAGGACTAGGGTATTAAAGCCCACACCCACAGTGACACACCTACTCCAACAAGGCCACACCCACTCCAACAGGGCCACACCCACTCCAACAGGGCCACACCCACTCCAACAGGGCCACACCTCCTAATAGTGCTACTCCTTGGGTCGAGCTTATGCAAACCATCACAAGTACGAAACTTCACAGATGAGGAAACCAACGCATAGAGTGGCTAGCAATTGACTCAAGGTCACACAGCCTGTGACAGGGTGTGGAGCCCCTATTCCCAGATGTTAACCACTGCACCGCCTCCTCTGAACACCCATATTATCTTATCCTCCAACTTTCAAATGGTCTTACGATGCCTATGACAGAGATGAGAAGACAGGGATCCCAAGAACTGACTTAGGGAGAGCCACCTACCCAGCTTACTTCCAGGAACCCAGAAGCCTGGATAGAACGGGCAGCCAGAAGTCCCACATAGTAGTCCAGCTCCAAGCCATCCACAGCAGCCACCCACGAGGTCACTAGATACCTGTGGGACTTCTTCCTCAAGCATCAAATTCAACCAAAGAGCAGGGGAAGTTGAGTTTCAGCACGAGACAGAAAACTTAATTATTTCACAATGCTAACGTCTGTGACACAGGTTAGATAGGCAGGGAAAATTTTTTTAGTCATGAAAAGAGAAAGGTGCCCTTACACCCGAGGCTTCTTCCCAGGTGAGAAACAGAATTCTAGCCCGTTCGATACCTGCTTATGGTCTCTATTCCTAGCTTGAAACCTTTGACTGTCTAGGGTTTTTCTTTTTTTTTTTTTTTTTTTTTTTTACCTGAAACCCCATTTACAGGAAAACACACCCCAAGACCCTTGTGCAACCTTAGTGGTGCTTGATTTAACTTTATTAGAATGTCACCCACCTCCAGAGCCACCCCGTAATTTTACCAAGCAAAGAGAGAGAGAGAAAAAAAAACAAAAGGCGAGATTCTTAGCCACCTTCTGAGATGTCACCTGTAAGTCACAATAAAATGGTATGTATGGCTAGTTCTAAGATATTTATTAACTCTCCCTTGAGAAGCCCATACCCATGCTTGGCTATATCTTAATTCTTTCCTTAAACAATCCTCTTATTCTTTTAACACCAGTGCTTAACACTTATGTAAAAATTATCTTTTAGAAGACAGTCATGGTGGTGCATGACTTTAATCCCAGCACTCAGAAAGCAAGAGACAAGAGGATCTCTGTGAGTTCAAGGCCAATCTGACCTAAATTGAAAGTTCCAGGACAGTCAGGGCTACATAAAGAGACCCTGTATCCAAACATCAACAAGAGTCGTTTAGGGACTGGAGAGATGGCAGAGGGCTCAAACTCAGTTCCCAGAACCTACCTCAGGTAGTTCACAACTACTTGGAACCCAGCCCCAGGGGATCTGACACCCTCTTATGGTCTCCACAGGAACCTGCACTCCTGTGCACACACCTACTCCCTTCCCATACATACACACAAATTTAAAATAAAATATTTTTTTAAAAACAGTCTTTATAATTTATTTTTTAGATTTATGTATCTTATTTTACAAATACAGATGTTTTGCCTGCATAAGCCCATTGCAGTCAGAAGAGGGTGTTGGATTCCCTGGAACTGGAGTTACAGGTGATTGTGAGCCACTACATGGGTGCTTAGACCCAGGTTCTGTGTAAGAGCAATGGGTGCTGTTAAGGGCCGTGGCATTTCTCCAGCCCTTAAAGATTCTTTTCATCGGGCAGCCTCCCCTTGTGTTGTTTTCTTTTCTTGAGCACTTTCCTTTCTACTTTTAGCTAAACTTCAACTCTGTTTCCCTGTGTCCTGAAATTCCCTTTTAAGTGGAAGCCATGGACCTCGGGTTTGCCAGAGGTGAGATCTTCCAGAACTTTCCAGAACTTCCTTGGGCAATTGAGGGTGAGAGTGTGGGGATGCCTGTTTGTCTGCCTCTCACTGCAGACTTCAGGAGGGCAGGCAGTTGCTGGGGGGGCTTCCAAACATCTCCAATTTACACCAGCCTGCTCTCACAAAGGTGGATGCCAAGCCTGGCTTTCCATGTGCTAGCACTAAGACCATGACTCCTCTGCCTCTGTTTCCTCTTCTGTAGAAGTGGGCAGTGCCGCTACCATCTCAGGAGGCTGGTGTGATTGAGAAACCAGGCAATCAGCATGTGAGGATGATACACCCTCTGCTAGAAAGGGCTGGGCTTGGGAAGGAGGACGGGTGAGCCACCAGAACACTTTGCAGATACAGAGGCTACTCCCCACGAGGAAAGTGACTGGCTCAAAACCCAGTAATCAGACTAGGTGTAGTGGTTCATTTTGTAGCATCAGCTTTTGAAAGGTTGGGGCAGGAGGATTGCCTTGAGTTTAAAACCAGCCTGGGCTAAATAATGAGACCTGTCTCCAAAAATAAAAGAAAAACAAAATCAAGCTCTCCCAAAATTCCCTGGAAGCTTTACCTGTCTCATGTGACCAACCAGTGCCTCAGTGTCCCCCATCAGTGAGATGAGGGTGATTCAGGTATTGGGGTGGATGGTTTTCTCGTGTGGTTAAAGTCTAGGGTCAGGCACCTCTAGGTGACAGCTGTTGTCTACCCTGTTATATATTTTGGTTTATTATTGAGACAAGGTCTCACACACTGAGGCTGGCTTCAAGCTCAATGTGTAGCCATCATAGAGGGCTTTCTGTCCTCAATCTGATAAAAGGTCCTGGGATTACAGCCTCAGGACACCACACACCTGGTTTATGTGTCGCAGGAAAACAAACCCAGGATTTTGTGTGTGCTAGGCAGAGGTTCTACTAACTTAGCTATATCCTGCTGTTCTCTTTAACTGAGGCCACATTCATGCCCATCATTGACAGGAAACCTTCAACCTTACACAGTTCTCCAAAACTGCGCTTTACTGTGAGCTGATCCAAGTACATACCCGGGACACGCCCATCTCGACCTCTTCTAGACCACCCACCAAAATACGGGCCACACCCTCCTGCCTATCTCCCACCCCATCTTCCAGCTCTACTGCAGCCTCCTCCAGGAAAGTCCCCACAACCCCTGGCTTCGATCACCGAGAGCTGATTCTGGATTCCTGAGAGCTATGAACAGACAAGAGGCTGACCTGATCTCTGGGAACAGCTGGGCTCAGACTTCCAGTTACCTGCCCCACCTTCCATCCCGGCTCAGACTGGGGGAAAGGTTTGATGGGGCATTCTACAAGGAACTCATATACATATCCTGAAACAACCGAGGCCAGTGAAGACTGCCTACTTTCCAAGCTGTTAAGGCGAACTGAGTTCTCACCTCGACCCAAGTTCGCCCTGACTCTGGCTAACAGCGCGCGCACTCGAATCTGCTAGTCCCAGAGCAGAACCTGGGACCTCCAGGTCCTTTTCCCACACCAGCCAAAAGAACGAAGGAATGCCACCCCTCCCCCCAGTGGCCTCCGCAGTTCCCCTAGCAGGGCCCCGGCAGCTAGCTACACCGACTGCACCTCCCTCCTAAGAATTCTCGAATTCTCAGAAGGCCTTTGCCAGGTTTGGGAAAGCGAAAGAAGCCCGCGGCAGCCTGCTTTTACCTAAGTGGGGACTTCCCAGGCCTGCGGCCTATAAATCCTGAGAGTTGCACCCAGTGTGACAAGGTGACCAGACAGACCCCAGCCTCAGGGCCCCAAGTGCATCTTCAGCATCCGCCCCGACCTCAGTGTTGCCACCTGTTAGGCGGGAATGATGCCACCTTGATGCGCTCAGGTTTGGTGAGGGAGCCAAGGGGCTACTGCATGTGCTAATCCCGGGGGCCCAAAGGGGACAGAACCCGGGTCGGAAGGAGGGCAGGGGGAACAGAAAGCAGGGACAAGGTGGAGAGGAGAGGAACACCAGGAGAAGTTGGGACGGGAAGAGACCGGGGCCAGGGATAGGAGCCGCGCCTCCCTACCCGAGCAGGTCCCCAAGGGGGGACTCACCGGACCACCGAGCACCTCACCTGGTCTCTGCAAATCCCGCCGCTCACCTGGCCGGCCCCCAGGCAGGCCCCTCCCCGGCAGGCCCCGCCCAACGTCAGAGAGCGCACAGCCCGGAGTCTCCAGGGTGGGAGGGACCAGGGTAGGAGGTTCTAGCTCTAGGCGGGAAGGAGCTGAGGGACACTGGCCCTGTGCCGCCTCCTCACCCGCTGCCACTCCTCACGTTTACCCGCTTTTGAGATGCGCCCGGTGAGACGGGAAACCGGAGATCTGTGCTGAGGTGGAAAACAGCCCGCGTCCCCGAGCGTCCGACCTGCTCTCCCAGGCGTGACCTAGGTGCGGGTACGGGGCTCTCTGTCTGCTGCCTCTGCCCTTGGGGTATCGGTGTGTCGCTGTCCCTGCCCTTCTGAGACTCCAGCTGGGGCTGGAGTCTCAGATCTACCGCCACACCTATGACTTGCCTCCAGGCACAAGGAGGCCTTGGTGTCCTAGGGAGAGCAGACCAGAGGTGGAGGCACGTAGGTGGCTCTACCAGAGCGTGTACTTCTGCTACACCTCATCTCCTGCATCCACTTGCTGTCCACCGACCTACGGCCTTGATGATCTCAGCTCTCACCCTAACCCCAAGTTCAGCTGTCTGTTGGATACCCAGCCTATGCTTGGGACGCTCACGGGCTCCCAACCCCTCCTCATCTCATTCTTCCAATGATGGGGTCCAAACCCTTGAGTCCTCATATTTTATGTGTGGTCCACTCTCCATCCCCAGTAGCTCCTACAAAGTATGTCATTGTCCCATATGGTGACCCTGGGGCCCAAAGGAGACTGAACCCGGGTCGGAAGGAGGGCAGGGGGCACAGAAAGCAGGGATAAGGTGGGGAGTGGGTCAAGTTGGTGATCTGGCCTCTATCCTCATAGGCCCATCTGTCCCCACACAGGGTCAGGGACCCCTTTCTGAGGATCCTCACACGGAACTCCACTCAACCTTTTCCCAATAGATGAGGCAACTCCACAACCCAGCTGCCCTGCATGAAGGGAACATGGCCCCGAGGAACATTTGTAGAGCAGTTAAACCAGTATTGACATCACTCACCTCTAGAAGGTGCTGTGACTTCAGGGGACAATCAATATAAGCCACTACCTCCGGCTTCCGTAAATAACGGTCTCAGCCAAGCGTCACAGGCTACCATGGAGGGCAGGTTGGACCTTGCTGGGTGGAGGGGAAGATAAAATATAGTTTGCTGTGTCTACCACTTCCACCCTAGTGGGAGAGGCTTGGCTCACTGTGGATGCTCAGTGAGAGTCGAAAGCATCCCCACCGTCCTTTGCCGAGCACACAGCTGAAGCCCCTCTAACAGAAGACAGCAGGCAGCATGCAGGATTTCTTCCTGTAAGATTTCTAATGTTCTTCGGTTTATTTTTACTTCCTGTATATGGGTGTTTTGCCTTCATGTATGTCCATATACCACATGCATGCAGTGCTCTTGGAGGTCAGAAGAGGGCATCTGATTCCCTGGAACTGGAGTTTCAGAGGGCAGGGTCAAGAGCTACCATGTGGATGCTGGCCACTCAGTCAGGTCCATCTGCGTGAGCAGCCAATGTGCTCAGTCACTGAGCCATCTCTTCAGTCTCACTGCATGTAAGTTTTACAGGATATGGAGAAACTTCACAAGGAAGGAGGATCCAGAGAGACGGGTGCGTTGTGTATCTTCATGCTTGGGTTTTAGGAAGGGTATTAGTTTAGTCATGGAGGAATAAAATAGGAGGGTAAAATGTTATGTATGACCTAACTGTAATAAAATGGGGGAAGTCAACCCCTCCTCAGTCAAACCTCTCTGGATGCACCCCCACAGCCACGCCCACAAGCATCTCAGAGCTTGAATCTTTTTTTTTTTTTTTTTTTTGGTTTTTGGTTTTTCGAGACAGGGTTTCTCTGTGTAGCCCTGGCTGTCCTGGAACTCACTCTGTAGACCAGGCTAGCCTCGAACTCTCAAACTCAGAAATCTGCCTGCCTCTGCCTCCCAAGTGGCGTGCACCACCACCGCCCGACTCAGAGCTTGAATCTTAACCCTTTAAACTATCACAGATCCATCCTGTATCAGTTTTCCCAAGGGACATGTCTGGGGGCAGTGTGTTCTGAGCCGACATCACTAGCCATCTGGTCACCACGGTGAGATCTAGGCCTAGGATGAAGTAGAGTTGGCAAGGTCTTGAGTCTGTGGTTAACACTGCTCATTCCCTGGATCAAGCCTGCCTGTGGCCTCTTACTTTAGCTGCAGGCACCCAAACCGTCCTTGGTTGTTTGAGCTTGAGTTTTCTATTCCACAGGATTCAGAGCATCCTGGTGGAAAATCAACTTTTTTTTTATTTACCCCCACTTCCCCCCACAAGACCAAGGATTGAAACTGGTGTCTTGCAAATGCCCAGAAAGCTATGTACATAGAGAAAGCTATGGTACCACTGCTCTGGCTTTTTATCCAAGTCGACAAATTGTTGCCCTCTGACAATGCTAGCAGTACAGGGGTGGGGGTGGGGCTATCCCAGAGGAGACCTCTGATTGACTGAGTCTAAGATACACTGTATTATTCAGGGTTCTCCAGAGGAACAGAATTGATAGAATGTGTGGTGTGTGTATACATACATGCATATATATTTTATATATAATATTATATATAGTTATATATGTAATATTATATGTATATGCATACCCACACATATGTATATATGTGCGCACACATATTGCATATGTCATATGTAATATTATATGTAGTATTTTATATGTATATATATATATGTATACACGTGTGTATGTGTATCTGAAGGGCATTTAGAGTGGTTTACAGGCTGCGGTCCAGTAAGTCCAACAATGGCTATTTGCTGACAGAAGGTCCAGCCATCCAGTAGAAGGATGAACGTTGAACGTTTCAGCTGGTCTTCAGTATACACTGGAATCCCAAAGTAGCTCTAAAGCCAGTGACAAAATGGGCTGGCCAGTGAGAGCAGACAGGCAAAGAGAGCAAGCTTCCTTCTTCTATGTCCTTTTCATCGGCTACTACCAGAAGTTGGTACCAGATCAAAGGTAGATCTTCTTCCTACCTCAAAAGATCTGTATTAAAAATGGGTCTTCCCATTCAAATGAGTTAATTAATTTAAAAAAACAAAAACAAACAAACAAAGAAACAAACAAAACCGGGGCTAGAGAGGTGGCTCAGCAGTTAAGACCACTGGCTGTTTTTCCAGAGGACCCAGGTTCAAGTCCCAGCTCCCACATGGAGCTCACACCTATTTGCAATTCCAGTTCCAGGGGCTCTGACACCCTCATGAAGACATGCTTGCAGCCAAAGCACCAATAAATATAAAAAAAAAATAATTAAACAAAAAAGAAAAAATCCCTCACGGCTGTGACGGCCCTTTGGATTTTAGTTAATTCCAGATTAGTCCAGTTGACATTCAGAAGAGCTAATTCCAGATGGTCAAGTTGACAACCAAGAATAGCCATCACACACACACACACACACACACACACACACGTGGGTCATGCAGATAAGACTGGTCCCTGGTTTTGCTGAAGATAACCATGAAATCACTAAATATGTGTTCGTAGAAAGGGGCAACAGTGACCTGTGCCAAGCAGAGGCCAGTGTTAGGCTCAGTGTGCTCAGTGCTCCTGCACATAGTAGGACTGCCTCTGGACAGTAGGGGTAGTGGGGCAATTTCCTCTGAATCCCCTCAGTATCCCCACAGCTGCCTCCTTCTGCAAAGACAATTGGCAATCATCTTGACAGGTGGGCCTGTCAACCAACACAGCACAGCCCAGCACAGCCCAGCACAGCCCAGCACAGCCCAGCACAGCCCAGCACAGCCCAGCACAGCCCAGCACAGCCCAGCACAGCCCAGCACAGCCCAGCACAGCACAGCACAGCACAGCACAGCACAGCACAGCACAGCACAGCACAGCACAGCACAGCACAGGACAGCACAGCACAGGACAGCACAGCACAGCACAGCACAGCACAGCACAGGACAGGACAGCACAGCACAGCACAGCACAGCACAGCACAGCACAGCACAGCACAGCCCAGCCCAGCACAGCACAGGACAGCTGGGATATGATCATCTAACATCTAACGTCTTCCTTCTCACAGAGGACTCAGGGTGACAGGAAGGAGAAAAAAGGCTTAATTGGTTCAATTGATTGGTTGATTGGTTGATTGATTGACGCTGTGCTACGGTGGCACACGTGTGCCAGGGTGTGTGTGGAGGTCAGAGGACAACCTTTGGATGGTTAGGAACACAGTTGTGTGTGAGCTACCATTGACGCAAAAGGGCAGCGACCCTGAAAGGAGCTGCACACCAGGCACCCTTCCCTTTCTCTCTTCTGCAGTAATCAGCCGGTTGGTCTTTCCCTTCTGCTTCTGTAACAATAACTCTGCATTTCAAAGGCCGCGCAATAAAACACGAAGGACGATAATGGGAAAGGAAGAGCTACCTCGGAATGCAGTTACTACTGGCTTTATTAAATTTGTTCTTGCAGATGTTTATGAAGTCGGAGGCTGCTTTTTTTTCCCAAGCAACAAGTTCTAAGTTAATGGGCATGTCTGGGTGGAGCGCTGGAGACAGGAGAAAGACCCAGCTGGGTCCTGGATTTCCTGTTTGTGTTCTCCCCAGTGGCTCACCCAGCCAGCTGCAGGAGCTGCAATCTTCCAGGAAACCTGCATTTCCGTGCTGCTGACGCATGGGGACAGGCAGGAAGAAAGGAATCTGGGCGTCCTCCAGCCACTCCCTCTGCTGGCCAAGCCACTGTAACCCACCGATGAAGGGCCAGCTTTCTGCCTGTAGCCCAGGACAAAGACAGTGTCATGCTCCTGTTTCAGAACAGAGGCTGTTCTGACATCACACGGAGGAATCCTGGTGCTTTCTCCGCTGTGTTCATGGGACACTATGGCCCAGTGTGGAAACCTTTTACATTCCCAGCGGAGTGGTCCTGGCTCTGGATATAACTGACTCAGTTATTACCTCAAAGGGAATAAGCATTTATTCTGGAGCCAAATATGAGTGACGTGGAGTCAACGTGGTATGGTTGCATGAAGTTCTTACAGTGACAGAACAAAGAAGAAAGTCATAAATCAACTTTCCAAGTACAATAGTGGGAACATCGGGTAGGCAAGTTCCACAAAGGTGGGTAAGCATTGCTTAGACCTCAGATGCTGTCTGATGACATTCTTAGCTTTTAGGTTACGGGAGGATAGGGATCTCTTAACACATCCTGAAAGGTCTCACGGGATAGTCATAAGAGGAGGGCAATGAATGGCTATCAAGGGGTTAGAGATAGCACCAGATAACTTGGCTCTGGATCTGCAACATTCCAACCCCTTCCCATTCAGTCACTCAGCCTTATAGGTAGAGTGTCTTCTCAGGAAATTCATACCTGCTTGACAGAGACATGGCCACTGGTGTCCCAGGCTGGCACCCCAGCTCTTCAAATGCCTGTGTTATCAAAGAGTCCCTACCTGGTAGACCTCTGTCTTAGTGAAGTTTCTCTTGCTGTGATAACCACTGTGACCAAAAGCAACTTGGGAAGGAAAGGATTTGTTTCAGCACCCAGATCCTGATCCATCAGGGAGGTCAGAGCTGGAACTCAAGGCAGTTACCTAGGGGCAGAAAATGATCCAGACACTACAACAGAGGAAACTGCTTACTGGCTTGCTCCTCGTGGCTTGCTCGGCTTGCTTTCTTACACCACCCAGGATCACCTGTCCAGAAGTGGCACCACCCACAGTTGCCTGGGCCCTCCCACACTAATCGTCAATCAAAAAAATTTTTAAAAGTCCCATAGGTTTGCCCACAGTTCAATCTAGTGGGGGCGTTTTCCCAATAGAGGTTCCCTTTTCTCAGAGGACACTAGCTTGTGTCAAGTTGACATTAAACCAACCAGACACCATCATAGATGGACAGTGACCTAACAACTAGCTAACCCAGGCTCCTTTGTCATCAGGGCATGGGCAGTGACAGGCTCCACCATGATGGTGTACACTCTAAGAGAGAGAGAGCTAACTGGGAAAACCTTGTGTCACCAGGACCACTGTGTCCAGCCTGGCTACGTGTGTGTGTGTGGTGTGTGTGTGTGTGTGTGTGGTGTGTGTGTGTGTGTGTGTGTGTGTGTGTGTGGCATGCAGGTCCTTGTGCTCACATATGCACACTAGGGAAACCAGGAATGTTAAACACACAGTTGTCTCTTCAAAGAAATTGATGTATAACCTGTTTTCTAGCCAGAAAATGTCTGGCTGGGAGCGGACATTGTTCATAGCCTGGTGACCTTTGTGCTATTTGTGTGGCCTGGCTTTCCTCCTGAAGACCCTTATCTTGAGCCTGCTTTCTCAGTTAATATCTTACGGAATATGTCACTTGGACTTTACAAAGAGTCTCGATGTAGTCATGTCCTAAGCTTTGCTGTGCACACGGGGTTGAATTCATTATCGCCAGGAAACTCTTCACCAAGTCGTGCTGTGCTTAAATATACCTAAAATAAATCACTCAAGGTCGGACTCTCGAAGTGTGACTAAACACTGGCTACTGAGTTAAACTGAACTGCCTTCTGGCTTTCTCAGACCTGCTGGCTGTGGTGTTTGCAGAGACGCCTTCGGTGAAGATAAGCGACGTTAGCCGTGTGTACACAATGGCTACAGGGTGACTTGGGACCTTCTGGACCTGATTGCTACTGCTGTGGCTGTTGATCTTGGATCAGTGCGATGAGAGTCGGTGGGGTAGTCTCCCCATTGGGTGGGTGTCTCCTAGGATGTGGATTCGCCTTCAGGGTGGAGTCTCCTGTGGGTTGCTGTAACAGTCATTGCTTTGCCCCTAAGGCTCACTCTGCAGTGTGGGGTAGTTTTGGATACTGTTCCTGGAAGCTAAGCCTGAGTGGCTCCCCACTCCTGGCAACTTAGAAAAGCTCCAATTAGCATTGCCTCAGCAACAGGCTACTCAAGTGGCTCACAGGTAAGTCCCTCATCAGCATCCCCACGTAACCGTCATCCTCACCAAACACAGGCTGAGGAGAGTCCCAGAGAGTCTGGGATGAGAGAACCTTTCTGCAGATAATGTGTGTGATTCTTTGCTTTTTCTTTTTAAACTTTTCACTGATTCTTTGTGAGTTTCCCATCATGCACCCCAGTCCTGTTCATCTCCTCCACCCCTCATATCTGCCCTTCACCTTTGCAACCTCCAAAATAAAATATCCAAACAAACAAAAACCAGAGAAAACATCTCGCCGTGGAGGCTCTAGCATTAACAGTGTGTCCTCGCATACACCCCTCTGTCCACACGTCTTTACTTGCAAGTGTTCATTGCAGTGAATCATTGGTCTGGTTTGAAGTCTCTGGCTTCTGTGACAACATCCATGTTGGCGTCACAGAATTGAGGATCCTCCGGTGATTCTGTTCTTGCCCTGGGTCATGGAGATCCTACAGCCTCAGAACAGCAGGACTGGCCCTTCCATGCACTCCCAACCTTTCGTGATGGTACAGCTTTTAGGATGGGGCAATGCAGACCCCTGGATCTTGGCCTGGGTGGTAGCTGAGCCAGCCCTCCCTTATCAACACCACCAGGGTGAGCTCGCCAGCACTTGTCCAGTGAGGAGCATGAATAGGAGGCAGGGTCAGCTCTTCTGCTCTCTTGCCCTCAGGGGTGGCTCACAGGTACCTTTGCCATCACAGATAATTCCACTGTATTGCCCAGGAGAGCTATAGGACCCCCTCTCTCCTAAGTGCTACAGCTAGTGAGGGAACAGGGTTAGCTCTTCTGCTCTCATGACCCCAGAGTAAGCTTCCCTGGTAACTGCAGGTAGCCAAGGGGTTTGGGGAGAGGAGAAGGCATCACCCCCACACCCACGACACCTCACACCAGACAAGTGACAGGGTCTGCTCTCCCATGCTTTTGCCCATGGGGCCAGCTCACCCGCACCTTCTCTACCAGGGCCAGCTCTACAGTGCTGCCTGTACAAGGAGCAAGGTCTGCTCTCCTGAGTGCTGTGGCAGGCAAGCGACAGGGTCAGCTCACCAGCGCTTGTGACCTCAGGACCAGTGCTCCTGACTGATGCAGGTGGTGAGGGGTGGGGGAGAGTATCACCCCAACACCCTTGCCACTTCACACCGATGAATGGTGGGACCAGCTCTCCATTGTTCTATCCTCGGAGCTGGTTCACCCTTACCCCAGCCACCAGGACCAGCTCCACTGTGCTGCCTCATCGAGGTGCAGGGCCTAGTGAGAGACGGGGCCAGCTCTCCAGAGGAATACATCCAACAAAGGGAGGCGCCAGTGGTGCACAGCCCCTGGACATCCACGTGATGATATGAGCCATCAACATCGACACCAATTCCTGTTACTGTGTAGCCACAGACTCAGACATGGCCCTCAGTGGCAGCTTGGGCTGGGACCTCACCCTGGCCCCAGGTGGCAGGGCTGGCCACTTATAACAGGCTCCTCCTCTCCACCCTCGAGTCTCCAGTTCCATCCCTCCTCATAGTGCTCAGGCTGCTCCATTTTTTTTTCTCTCCCATGTGACTACCGCATACTCGCTTATTGTGATGACTTCTGCTGCAGGCTGGCCACGTGGCTGGTGGACCCCTGGGTGACATCCTCCATCTTTGCTGTGTGGCATGGTAGCAGCTGTCTATGACCTACCTGTGTCATGCACTGGAGGGCAGGTCTGGAGTGGCATGGCTGTCCACAGTTCTCTGTCTTTCTCTTCCTGAGCCGCTCTGCCTGGATTTGATTTGATTTTTATGTGTCCTATACACAAGACAGTTTTGTCCACCAAGCCAGGCATCAAGCTAGGATGAACAAAGGACTGCCATCTGCTCTGCCCTGAGTGATGGAAGAACACCACCACCAACAAAGTGTCTCTTTGCCCATTGCCGGGGGGGGGGGCATATTGTTACATTTTTATAGCCCTTTACAGCTGGTTAGAGTTGGTTTGCTGTCTCTACAAACATCCATCAATAAGGGGAAGGGGGGCAAAGCCTGTGGTTTAGTATTGAGCCATTATTGCCTGTAGGTCAAAGCCCACTAAGGACCCATCTGCAGCGGCCATTCGTGTGGCTTTATAACCCTAGCCCTGCTCTATATGTGAATCACAGGCATAGAGAAGCAGAGAAAAGTCATCAGAACACGGTGTCATATCTGCAAAGATCCTGGCTTCAAATGGAGACACTGAGGCTGTTTGGCCTGCTTGCTATCTCACGGTAGCCATCCCTGACTCATGCCAGTGGTACTAGCTGTCCCCAAGAGGGGTATTGAGGATAGATGAACACCGTGTAGCCCTGTAGTATTCCTCTGTCAGCTTTCTCCCCATCTGGGAACCCCACAAGCCTCTGGAGTCCTGGAAAGATTCATGTATATTCAGATCACACACTCCAAAAATGACAGCACCCTGTAACTTTAATTTTTTAAGAAACCTATTTTTAATGATGGTTCTTATAGCCCACCACCCACCAGAGGTAGTGGGAAAGAAAGGTAGGGGAGAAGTGGACCTGTTTAGAAAGGTTCTTTGGAAATCAACAGTTCAGTTCACAGGTCAATTGAGCAGCGGCAGCTCAATCTGCTCGCAAACACTTCACAGATACACCAGCAGTCCAGTTCAGTAGACAGGAATCAGCAGCGATGGCACAACCTAGCAGAGACAGTCAGCCTCAGTGTCAGCACAAGTCAACAGGAGGGACCAGGAGGAACACCAGGAGAAGTTCTCAGCTGTGCCTCTCTCAGAGAGGCGAAGATTAGCGAAGAGTCGAGACCAACAAGCATTGCACAGCTGGCTCTAAAAGCAAGCCTAGCTGAGCCTCCATCACTGTCCGTTGAATCCTGTTTATACCCTCCAAACGTCCTCCATGAGTCTTGCCTCAGTACATGTCTTGCCTTAGCACATACGTCTGTCTCAGCTGACATCACCTCTGCCAATCAGCCTGAGTCCGCAGAAGCTGCAAGAAACTTCAGCACACCACCAGAAGTTTTTTGGTGCATTTCTCTCTATGGAGTCCAGGCAAATGCAACTCAACTACGCAATGTAAGGTAGACCAATACATGCGTTGTTAGCGAAGAATCCATCATCGTCCTTTTATGTGCTTGCTTTAATAGACAGCCTCTTTCCTGTATCTGTGTCTGCTTCAGCTAAATGTTCCTTCACAAGTTTGCCTTAGCCTATCACCTGTGTCCACTTCAGGAAAACACTCCCTCATGTTTTTGCCCCAGCAAAACACCATCCAATAGAACATATTCCCAGTGTTAGTTGTGTGTGATCATCTAACCTGGGTTCCAGAGAAAGATCCGAGAGGGGCTACTGTGTGCCCCTCTATCTTGTAGGGTCCCTGTTTCTGTCTCTGTCTCTCTCTCTCCCACTCCCCAAACAAATGTCTTTCAGAAAGGTGTAGGGACGGTCACTGAAAGGCCCACATCAACACACACCTGGCAGACCATGCATGCCACTGTGACAGGCTTCTGAATCCTCCTCCACCCCACCCTTCTCTCTTACCTTTTCTAGCCCTTCTTCCTTTACCACTTGAGCATAGAACCAGACCTTATCACACTCCATTCCTGGCCCCTTGTTCCTTGTAGCCTGTGGAATGTAAGAATGATGCAGGGTGGTGGTAGTAGCACATGCCTTTAATCCCAGCACTCAGGAGGCAGAGGAAGGAGGATGTCTGAGTTTAAGGCCAGCCTGGTCTACAGAGTTCCAGGACAGCTGGGAACCTGTTTACAAAAACAAAAACAACAACAAAAAAGAGTACCAGTTAATCCAATGCCCCAGCCTCTCTCCCTTTTGTACTCTCCAAGCTGCCTGAGACCCAGGGCCTGGCAAACATAGGCAGAGCCTGGAGTAGCACTTTCCTGAATCTGTGGTCAGACAGTGGTGCCCAGAAGCAATGGGGGTACTCTGGGAAAATAGGAGTGAGCTGAGAGGTTATAGACCCTCTCTATACCTACCCCCCAGTTAAGGGCCAGGAGGCTACCCCTTCCAGGGCTGTGTGTACAGGCAAGTGTGAACATGTTCTGTGAGTGGGTGAGTATATACACATGTATGTGTGTGTATGTGCAGGGTAGGGGGTTATACATTTGTTCATGTGTATGTGAACATGTAAATAGTGTGTGTGTGTGTGTGTGTGTGTGACAGTATGTGTGAACGGTGCTGAGACTTCAGACAATGTCCTCATGTCATTGTAGAGATAGGACAGAGAGGCTTCCCACAGAGTGGGTGGGAAGAGCCCTGCAGCTTCAGGAAGCAGGCTGCCGAGTCCTTGACAGAGGTTTCAAAGGTTTGAGAATAATGGTGGGGGCCCAGTTTTCTCCTCTCCCTGTGGTGTGGCACAGACACAGGGCCTGGGAGCTCCAAGAGCTGAGGCCATAGGCAGGTAGACCGTTGGGAAGGGCACTGAGGAGGTAACGATCCTGTGTCCTGAGAACATGTTCATGAGAGAGCCAGTGGGGAGGCGAACACACCTCTGTGAAGGAATGACCTTCACCACCACAGTGGCTTTCATCCCAAAGGGCATTGGGGGACAGCACAGAGCTGGGACAAAGGGACACTGTTCCTTAATCCCTATGTCTGTGACATCTGGGCCAGTCTGCTGAGGGTTGGGTACAGGAGCCACAGGAAGTATGGTGACTGGACTTGGGACAGGGTGGGGACAGAGGACACTAGGTAAAAAGCTCCTAGGACTTGCTGCGTCCTAGGACCTGTGGGTACAAGGGAGAGGTCAAACAGGAAGCACAACTCTCACTCTAACACTAACCAGGGCCCTGTGCGAGGCCACAAAGGACCTTAGATTCCCACTAGCTATGCTGAGGCTCAGGACCTTAGGCCATCTCTGCCTCTAAGCCGCAGGACATAAAGCCCAGGTGTCTGATAACCGGATGGCAAAGTGACTTAAAAAAAAAACCCACCAAGATTCAGTAGGCAATAGTGGCACACACCTTTAAATCCCAACATTCAAGAGGCAGAGGCAGGGGCGTCTCTGTGACTTAGAAGCCCAGCCTGGTCTACATAGTGAGAGTTCCAGACCAGCGAGGGATATATAGTGAGACCGTAACTCAAAACAAAACAAAACAAAACAAAACAAAACAAAACAAAACAAAACAAAAGGAAAGGGTCCACATAGTCCAGGCTAGCCTCAGACTCACTATGTAGCTAAGGATGACTTTGAACTCTGACCCTCATTTTGAGTGCTGGGATTCGATGAGAGTCACCGTATGATCGAACCCAGGGCCTTGTGCATACTAAGCAAGCGTTCTAACCACTGATCCACTTCACCTCAAGCAACAGCATCTGCATCATCACAGTCTAGTGATGAGGGCAGAGCCGAGTGCTTGGCTTGCTAGCAGTGAACCCTATCCTGATAGTGTTTTCCCAGGGCTCACTGACATCTCGAATGATGAACACACATTTCTCCATGACAAGTTTTTAAAGGCCATGACAGCATCCTCTCCACAGAAGAATGGTCCCAGAAGCCTTTGGGAGTTAGCACAGAACAAGACAAGAGCCCCGGAGATGGAATGTTATGGAATCTTCACCTTGCCTCTGTTAGACACCAGGGGTTACTCCAGTTGAATACCTTTCCAATGTCATTTTATTGTTGTTTTGGGACATTGTTTCGTCATGTCACTGGAGCTGGCTTAGAACTGGCTACATAGACTAGGCTGTCCACGAACTCACAGAGCTCTACCTGTCTTCGTCTCTCAAGCACTTGGATTAAAGGCAAGTACCATCATACCTCAATCAACACTACAAAAAAATTTAAAAATTCCTAACAGCTGTTTCCCATGGGCTCCCTATATCCCCCTCCCTTCCCCACACACAGGAAAGTGGATTAGGGCTCAGAGCCGATGGCCAATAGGTAGGGCCCAGTGTCACTTCATGACAATTGGCAGTGCGTGGGCTCATAGACAGCCCATGCTTTCTCTGTGTGCTGAAACCTCTGATCAGTCAGTGGGGCTTGTCAATTGTGACAAGCACATGCCTCCCAACCCTATGTGTGACAGAAACACACATGCAGGTCTGCAGCGGGAGGTGGCCATGGAATCAGCCTAGGACGACACTGAGAGGGCCCTCCCCCATCCTATACACACACACACACACACACACACACACACACACACACAGGGTTTCCCATGCCCAGTGCTGATCGAGTAACTAATAGGACACAGGGCAGGCACTGGGACAGAGCTGGGAGCTCAGTGGAAGAAAGATGGAGCTGCCTGGAAAGAGGGGGGAGGGGCTACAGACCATGAAACAACTCACTTCAGCCAGCACAAGCCCCCTATAGGCTCACAAAGCCGGAACTTGGGCTGCCTGACTCAGGGCTCCTTCAAGGAGTGGGTGGGGCACCCCAGCAGCGTGTTTGCATGTTACATCCTGGTGCGCCCTGTCTCTGTACACCTGGTGTGACGGCTATTTTTGGTTGTCAATTTGACTAACAACTGAACTTAACTAAAACCTAAGGGCTGTGTACAACTGGGAGGGATTTTTTTCTTTCTTAATTAAATTACTTGAATTGAGAAGACCCACTTTTAATCTGGATCTTTTATGGTGGGAAGCTCCACCTTTAACCTGGGCCACACCTTCTGGTAGCATCTCTCTGTGGGACTTGGACAAAGGAAGCTTGCTCTCCTGGCCTGCTTGCCTTCACTCTTGCTGGCAAGCCCATCCCTCCTCTGACTTTAGAGCCTACTTCTTCTATATAGTCTATCAAGTCTGTTCCTCTGGCGTTTCTCAACCTGTGGGTTGTGACTCCTTTGGAGGCCGAGTTACCCTCTCACAGGGGTCACATATCAGATAACCTCCATATCAGTTATTTTCATTATGATTCGTAACGATAGCAAAATTATAGTTATGAAGTAGTAACAGGATAATTTCATTGGGGGGTCGGGTCACCA